CGACATCTAGCCAAGTGGAAGTGTATCCTATCTGACCTCCGCCGATGGAAGGATTAAAAAAAAAAAAAAAAGATCCTAAAACAGAAGACTTTACAGTTATGGGGGAAAAAAAATAAAATGTTTCCAACCAAATGAATCAGCAAGGATACATTTCAGAGAGGCAGCGTGGGAACAAAAAGCCAGCCGCAGAAAGGTATCCGTCTGCATCGTCTGTATCGTTTTTATTGCGGGGATGGATATCGGTGGTAAAGAGTTACTAGGACGGGGGCTGCCCTCCGAGAGGGAGAGGAGACACCGGGCCGAGGAGGAAGGCCCCGAGGCGTTCCCGTGGTGTCTGTGACGTGTGCTCCTTAGCCTGGTGGTCCTTCGCCTGAGTGCTTGTCACCTTCAGCCTCTTCTCCTGTGTGCCTGAGACTGCTTACCCGCCCCTCCCGGGGGAGCAAAAAGTTTAAAAAGATCCGGAAACCAAAAGGGCCGAACCTCAGCTCAAAACAATCAAGCTTTGCCGAAACTGGTTTGGCTCAGTGGATAGAGCGTCGGTCTGCGGACTGAAAGGTTCCAGGTTCGATTCCAGTCATGGGCATGCACCTTGGTTGCGGGCACATCCCCAGTGGGGGGTGTGCAAGAGGCAGCTGATCGATGATTCTCTCTCATCGATGGTTCTAACCTCTATCCCTCTCCCTTCCTCGCTTTGTAAAATCAATAAAATATATTTAAAAAACAACAACAATCAAGCTTCCTGCTTGATTCCCACCTTTACAACACAACAAAATGATACCCACCTTAGCTGCACTTTTTAAAACACTGCTTTATATTTTTATTTTAAATATATTTTATTGATTTTTTTTTACAGAGGAAGAGAGAGGGATAGAGAGTTAGAAACATCCGGTTTCGGCTATATTTTTATTTTTTAAAATCCTCACCTGGAGAGAGAAAGAAAGAGAGAGAGAGAAAGAGAGAGAAAGAAAGAGAGAGAGAGAGAGAGAGAGAGAGAGAGAGAGAGAGAGGTATGAACCCAGAACTCAGGAATGTACCCTGACCCGGAATCGAACCGGCTTTTGACACACACACACAGGACGAGGCTCAACCCATGAGCCGCCCTGGCCGGCTGCCCTATATCTCTCTCTCTCCTCTCCCTCCCCAAGAGCAGGGACTGAGCCTAGAATGACTCCCTTCTCCTTCCTGATGACTGGTGCTCAGGCCACGCTGGGCATTTAGACCTTCGCAGACGCCAGTGGCCAGGGCGGCACGTCAGGCCTGCGTCCTCCCTCCCGGGAGGGCCTGGCGGCCCCACCCGCCGCCTCAGGGGGTGGCAGGTCCGCCCCGCCCGCCTCTGCTATGGACACCTGTCACCAGGTCAGCCCGGGTTTCCTCCCGGCCCTTCCAGCTGCAAACCCTTCACCACAACCCTCCCACCTCGCCTCGGAGAGAAAGAATCCTGATCTCTGGGCTAGAGGATTTTAAGGCGCAGCTATGAGACGGTTAGGCTTTTTTTTTTTTTTTAAATTTTCTGGAAGGGTGCTTTCCGAACGGCTCCCAGGGTTGTGTAACCGGAGTGGCTGCTGGGGGAACAAGGGCTGCATTGAGACGGAAGCCCTGGCACACGCTCATTCTGCCCTCGGTGTGCCAGCGCCAGACCTCAGCTCACCCGCAAAGGTGGCCGGAGCGCAGGGGCGCCGAGGCCGGCAGACGCAGCACCAGCCAGGGGAGGGAGGGGGTGTTCACGTCCCATCCCCCCTCCCCACCCCCCTCCGCACCTTCAGGTGGCGGGTTCGACGCCAATTCGAGGGCTGGCTGTGTCTTTTCTGTTTTGGACCCCTTGTGAGAAACAGCGAGACGCTGCTAGGGCAGCAGCACACGGCGTGGCCTGCGGTCTGCCTGCTTGACAGAGGAAGTGGTGTGACGAGGAGGGGGGGGCAGAGCACCGGTCACAGGTTTGGGGGAGGAGGACCGGGCAGGGCCGAGAGGAGGGACCCGTGGCCACGGAGCACCCGGCCCCCGCGTGTGCCCGGGGGTGTTCTCGGCGAAGGCGCTGTGCCCTGTGTGTCCTGGGACGTTCTGGCGCCTTTCTCTCCCCGTCGGCACGTCTCAAGCTTCCCGAGGGAGAACTTTCTGGAAAACACGACTGTTCGTCTCACTTTGGCAGGTCTGTTCTTATCCTGGAAAGAAAAGAAGAAAGAAAATAACTGAGCTAGTTTCCCTCCCTGACCATAAATTTGATTTTCTACTTCCCCTTCCTCTTTTTTTTTTTTTTTTTTTTTTTTGTGGTTTTTCTTTCTCAAAGCCACATTTTTAAATTAGAAATTTATTTGATTTTTATTCCTTTTGTTGTTATTGTTGTTGTTAATCCTCACCCGGGGATATTTTTTCCATTGCTTTTCAGAGAGAGAGAGTGAAAGAGAGGGAGAGAGAGAGAGAGAGAGAGAGAGAGAGGGAGAGGGAGGGAGGGAGAGAGGGAGGGAGAGATGAGAGACATCAATTGGTTGCGCCCTGACCAGGGGTGGGGAGTGAACCACAACCCAGACACATGCCTTGCCCGGGAATTGAACACATGCCCTTCACTGTGCAGGCCAATGCGCTAACTACTGAGCTACTGGCCAGGGTTGGTGGCTATTTTTTAAAAGATTCTTTTTAAAATTACTAAATGTCTATTTGTTACTGTTGATAGTATTACAGATGTCCCCCCCTTAAGCCCTCTCTACTAAGCCCCTTTGATTTTTTTTTTTTTTTTTTTTTTGGCTGCCTGTTCGGCTGCCTCCTGCTCGCCCCCTACCAGGGACCCAGCCTGCAGCCCAGGCATGTGCCTGACTGGGAATCGAATCGGCAACCTGGTCAGTGCACGGCACAGCACCCAGCCCCCGGAGCCACACCGGCGGGGGCAGAGCCACCTTTTTATTTTAGTTTTTTAAAAAAACCAGCTATGCCGAAACCGGTTTGGCTCAATGGATAGAGCGTCGGCTTGGGGACTGAAAGGTCCCGGGTTCGATTCCGGTCAAGGGCCTGTACCTTGGTGGCGGGCATATCCCCAGTAGGGGGTGTGCAAGAGGCAGCTGATCGATGACTCTCTCTCATCGATGTTTCTAACTCTCTATCTCTCTCTCTTCCTCTCTGTACAAAATCAATAAAATATATTAAAAAAAAACTCACACACACAAAAACCCTCAACTATAACAAATTCGAAGAAGGAAGCATTGAGCTCAATGAACACTTTTCCTTGCAGACAACGTGACGAGTTTCCTCTCACTTTCCCCATTTCTGACACGTGTGCCCTTGGTCACTCGGGGCCGGGCGGCGGGAGAACGGGGCCGGGCAGTCCAGTGGGACGTACGGCCGCACCGCGCAGACCGTATGGGTTACAGATGGCGGAGCAGCAGCAGCGCCTCCCCCCAGAGCCCGCCGTCAGCCCGCAGGCGCCTGCTGAATGCCTCGCCTGTGCTCGGCGCGAGGGATGCGACCAGCTCCGTGCGCACGACGCCAGCATGGCGGATGCCAGACGGGAGCCAGGCCACCTGCCAACTGTACTTGATTTTGGGAACAAAAAACAAGACAAAAACGTCCTCTTCTCGGGGCCTCAGTTTCTTTGTGTGTACAATCAGGGGGCTCTCGTGGGCACCCTCAGGCTTAGGGTTCCTCCCACGAGGACGGTGGCAGACTCCAAGGCGGGATGTGCCCCCGGATTCCTGGCTCTCGAGAGTCTTCCAGACAGCGGGGCGGACTGAGCAATGACACCGGCTAGGGGTGTCGAACTCAATCAGAGAAGGGGCCAAAATCTAAAATCCAGCCTAAATCGCGGGCCGAATGGTTTACTGAACAGTCATAAACTGTCATTGTGATGGAAACGCAGCGGAGTGCAGTGATGACAGCGCAGTGCGGGCCACATTGCAAGGCCTGGCGGGACGGATTTGGCCCGCGGGCCTTGTGTTTGACACATGTGCCCTACACCGTGCCATTTCTGGAAGGGCACCGGTGGCCCACCTGAGGTGAGGTGCCTTCCTCTGAGCGGGTGCTCGGGTCCAACCTTCCCGGTCTCCAGCCGGTCCGTGAAGGGACCTGCGGTGCTGCCTCAGGGCTTTTGCACATGCCGTCTTGCTGCCTGCAGCCTCCTGCAGCCATGGCTGCGGCTGCCTCCCTTCTCGGCCTTCAGCTCTGGGTAGGTGTCCCTTCTCGGGGCCCGTCCTTGGACTCCTCTCTTAAAGAAGGCCTTTCCCCTTAGCCTCGGGGTTCAGCACTCATTTCCTCCTGTGACCTCCCCCAAGTTGTCACCGTTTTATTGGTGTGCTTACACGGGGGCGCCCTTTCTGTCTGCGGAGGGGTGTCCCCGGTGCCTCGCACACGCGTGGCCTCCACCCATGCCTGTGACGGGGAGGCGTGGCAGCCCCCGGGCCCAGAAACCTCCGGTGGAAGGCGCCTCCCCCCAAGTCCCTTCCGCAGCCGGGCCTGGGCGGCAGGAACTTCCTGCACGCTGCCCCCGCTTTCTCTTTTCTTTCTCTTTTTTAAAATATATATTTTTTTATTGATTTCATAGAGGAAGGGAGAAGGGGAGAGAGAAACATCAATGATGAGAGAGAAACATCGACCAGCTGCTTCCTGCACTCCCCCCACTGGGGATGTGCCCACAACAAAGGTGCATGCCCTTGACCGGAATCGAACCCGGGACCCTCCAGTCCACAGGCAGATGCTCCATCCACTGAGCCACACCAGCCATGGCCCTTTGCCCGATCTCTTTGGAATTCCCTTTCCTCCAGGAAAAGGCTCTTATGACATCACAGCGCCCTCCCCTGTGCCGCAGTGACATCATCACCGCCGCTCGCTGCGTCACAAGCCCGTCCCCAAGGCCCTCTCCCTCCCCTTGGGACCCCAACCGCCCCCAGAGGGACACCCCGCAGCCCGCGCCCGCCAGGTGAGCTGCCGGCCACGCCCGCCGCCGCCGCCCGCGCGCCGGTGACGTCACGCCCCGGCGCTGGCGTCACGTGCCCCTCGCCGTCGGGGGCGGGGCCTGAGGGCGGCCCTTCCGGTCGGCGGAGCCCGGCGGCCAGAGCGGCGGCGGCGGGCGAGCGGCGGCATGGCGGGCGCGGGGGGCGAGGCGCGGTTCGCGGGGCTGACGCTGGTGCAGCTCAACGAGCTGCTGGAGGACGAGGGGCAGCTGGCGGCCATGGTGCAGCGGATGGAGGAGGTGAGGGGCCGCGCGGCGGGGCCCGGGCGGGGGACAGAGGTGCGGGGGCCGGGCCGGGGGCCGGGGTCGGGGTGCGGGGGCTGGGCCGGGGTGCGGGGTGAGGGGGCCGGGGTCGGGGTGCGGGGGCTGGGCCGGGGTGCAGGGTGCGGGGGCCGGGCCGGGGTGCGGGGTGCGGGGGCCGGGCCGGGGGCCGGGGTGAGCGGGCCGGGGTCGGGGTGCGGGGGCTGGGCCGGGGTGCAGGGTGAGGGGGCCGGGGTCGGGGTGCGGGGGCCGGGCCGGGGGCCGGGGTGAGGGGGCCGGGGTCGGGGTGCGGGGGCCGGGCCGGGGTGCGGGGTGCGGGGGCCGGGGTCGGGGTGCGGGGGCTGAGCCGGGGTGCAGGGTGAGGGGGCCGGGGTCGGGGTGCGGGGGCCGGCCGGGGGCCGGAGTGCGGGGGCCGGGGTCGGGGGTGCGGGCCCAGCTGGGAAAAGCGTCCGTCCTGCGCGGGGCTTGGGGCCCAGGCTGGGAGGGGAGCGGGGAGCCAGGGGTGGGCTTTGGGGCGCAGAGGCTGAGGCAGAGGCTGGGGGGCGGAGGGAGAGGGGGGCGGAGGTTCGGTTGCCGAGGGGGCTGGAGTGGGGGATTCGGGGTGACAGGCTGAGGGCGCCAGGGCTTCGTCCATCCGGACGGAGGTTGGGGAGCGTAAAGGGGAGGTGGAGGGAGACAGACTGAGGCAGGTATTGGGTGTGAGAATAGGTTGGAGGAGCTGAGTGGACTGGCTGGAATGAGCTTTACCAGGGAATTGGGGGCTCCGAGATGGGTTTGAGGGGACTGAGTGTCTGTAGCTGGTCTGGGGGTAGTTGGGGGTCTGGGGGTAGTTGGGGGTCTGAGGGTAGTTGGGGGTCTGGGGGTAGTTGGGGGTCTGGGGGGGTAGTTGGGGGTCTGGGGGGTAGTTGGGCGTCTGGGGGTAGTTGGTGGTCTGGGGGGTAGCTGGGGGTCTGGGAGGTAGCTGGGGGTCTGGGGGTAGCTGGGGGTCTGGAAGGTAGTTGGGGGTGAGTGACCATAGCTGGGTCTGGGGGGTAGTTGGGGGTCTGGGGGGTAGTTGGGGGTCGGGGGGGGGTCTGGGGGTAGTTGGGGGTCTGGGGAGGGTCTGGGGGGTAGTTGGGGGTCTGGGGAGGGTCTGGGGGGTAGTTGGGGGTGAGTGTGTGTAGCTGGGTCTGGGAGGTAGTTGGGGTCTGGGGGTAGCTGGGGGTCTGGGAGGTAGCTGGGGGTCTAGGGGTAGTTGGGAGTCTGGAAGGTAGTTGGGGGTGAGTGACCATAGCTGGGTCTGGGGGTAGTTGAGGGTCTGGGGGGTAGTTGGGGGTCTGGGGGGGAGTCTGGGGGGTAGTTGGGGGTCTGGGGGGGTCTGGGGGGTAGTTGGGGGTGAGTGTGTGTAGCTGGGTCTGGGAGGTAGTTGGGGTCTGGGGGTAGCTGGGGGTCTGGGGGGTAGCTGGGGGTCTGGGGGTAGTTGGGGGTCTGGAAGGTAGTTGGGGGTGAGTGACCATAGCTGGGTCTGGGGGGTAGTTGAGGGTCTGGGAGGTAGTTGGGGGTCAGGGGGGTAGTTGGGGGCCGGGGGGGTAGTTGGGGGCCGGGGGTGTAGTTGGGGGCCTGGGGGGTAGTTGGGGGCCTGGGGGGTAGTTGGGGGTCAGGGGGGTAGTTGGGGGCCTGGGGGGTAGTTGGGGGCCGGGGGGGTAGCTGGGGGTCGGGGGGGTAGCTGGGGGTCGGGGGGGTAGCTGGGGGTCGGGGGGGTAGTTGGGGGTCTGGGAGGTGGCTCTGAGGTGGGTTTGATGACTGGGTAGGGGTCTCGGAGGTCTGACTGCATGAGGACCGTTATCCTGAGGGCTTGTCCGGGGGGTGGGCCTAAGGGAGGTGGCAGGACCCCTTTCCCGGAAAGAGTTGCCCCGGTGAAAGAAGGGCGTGCTCTGCCCTCGTGTCCCCCGGAGATGTCCTCGCTGTTGGCTGGAGGAAGGTACACGGGGGAGGGTGTTGGGACGGACCGCCGTCCCCAGCTCTCCGGGGCCTCCGGCCGGCTCGCTCTCCCGGTAACTGGCCTCAGCCGGGGCCTCTGCGGTGTGCGCCTGCTTCTCCCGACTCTCCCCCTCTCCCCTGCCCGGCCGGGGCCTTCTCCGGCCGGCGGACCCAGACCCATCCCGCTGTCCGCCCGCCGCCCCCTCCTCCTTTGTCTGCGAAGCCGAAGCCAGGCCTTCCCCGCCTGGGCCGCCCCTCCGGCCGCCCGGGGGCGCGGGCTCTTTCCCAGGAGGGACTGTCAGCCCCGGGCCAGCCCTGAAAGGGGGCTTGTCTGGAGGCTGCGCATTCAGAATCCCTGGAAAACCCTCAACGGATCATTGTCCGGAGCGACAGAGAGGCCAGTGTAGTAAGATGGTATCAGCCTTTCCGTTAATGCACCCCTTGTGTTCACGGCTTGTAACTTGGCACACGTGACGGGCTCCGCGGGGCAGTGTGCCCGGCCGGTCACGGTCTCCGCGGCCCCCTCCCTCCGGAGGATAATCCGCGACAAAATCCATCTTTCCCGGCCGCGGGGGAGACCCCGCCAGCCTCCCCGCCTTCCCGTTGCCGGGAGACCTTCCGTTGGCGGCCAGCTGGCATCTCTCTAGTTCGATAATCAAACGAGAGCCGTGTGTGTGCGAGTGAGTGTGTGTGTGTGTGTGTGCGTGTGTGTAACACACGTTATTTCCGTCTCTGTGACCGTCCTGGTTCGGGGAGGACGGTGTGTGTGTGTGTGTGTGTGTGTGTGTGTGTAACACACGTTATTTCCCTCTCTGTGACCGTCCTGGTTCGGGGAGGACGGTGTGTGTGTGTGTGTAACACACGTTATTTCCCTCTCTGTGACCGTCCTGGTTCGGAGAGGACGAGGTGTGTGTGTGTGTAACACACGTTATTTCCCTCTCTGTGACCGTCCTGGTTCGGGGAGGACGGTGTGTGTGTGTCTGTCTGTCTGTCTGTGTCTGTCATCCTGTCTGCTGAGCGTTCGTGGGAATGAGCTGCCTTTTGAGGGCGGGAAGGTGGTGCCGGGAGCCCGCCGCCCGGGGCTGTGGGCCGCCCTGGCTTTCTCTTCTGGGTGCGGGAGGCTGTTTAAAGGGAAAGGCTCGGTCGCCCGGCAGGTTCGGTTTGCTGTGGGTTCTGGTGCCCGGTGTTGGCGTAAAGGAGACCTTCATACCCGAGTGTCCCGCACAGAGGCTGCGGGCCGGCCGGGGCCACTGGTCCCACCACAGGGTTTGTTCTGCGGGGCGCAGTGCTTGTAAATATTTTAATAGAACAGGAAGCGGGAGGCGCAGACCGGGATGCCCCTCAGCCCCGCAGCTCACCTGGCCGCTGCCCGCGCGGCAGAGCCTGCTGCCCCGGTCCCGGGTCCGGACGTGCCGCGGAGCAGCCAGGTGTGGGCCCTGGCGGTTTGCTCAGCTGCCGCTGTTCCTGGCCGGCCCGGCCTGCTGGGAGGTGGCTGGGAGGCACGGAGCTGAGAACACGTGGCGGCCCGTCCACTCGGCCACATGGATCGTGTGTGCTGTGGTGTGAAGAGCATGGGGCTTGGGCGTCAGACAGTCCGGGCCAGCCTCGGGCCCCTCCCCACCTTCCCCAGGCTGTGTGACTGACTGCAGGCAGGTCTCTGCCCCTCTCTGACCGTCCGGAGCAGGGTAACGCGGGCCTGCTCGTTTCCTGGAGCTGGCGTGCGGGTTCTGTGAGATGGTGCGTGCTGAGTCCTTAACACAGTGCTCAGGAGTGTCATTGCAAGTTTTCATTTGTATATTTTTGTTCCTCCTCCCCTGAGGATATTTTCTCCCATTTCCATTTTCATAGTGGAAGGGAGGGGGGAGAGAGAGAGAGAGAGAGACAGACAGACAGACAGACATCTGTGTGAGAGAGACAAATCAACTGGTTGTCTCCGGCATGGGGCCCAACCAGGATTGGGGCGTGAACCGCAGCAGCCCAGGTCCATGGCCTTGACCAGGAATCGAACCCGAGACCCTTCGGTGCACGGGCCGACGCTCTGACCCTGAGCACACCGGGCCACGGCGTAATTGCCGTTTTTAACCGTCGTTTGTAGCGCTGCCTTCTCAGAAAGGTCACCGGCAGTCCTTCACACCAGCTCGCCCGGGCACGTCCCCGGTCTCATTTCCCGAAGGCCGAGTCCCTGTTTGCCTGAGGGGCGTTCTGCCTCCGCGGCCAAAGGTTCCGGTGCCGCGGCAGGTCCGGGACGAGCCGGTGAGCGGAGCAGCCGTTGGCAGCACGGATCTCTTGGCCTGAAGCGAGGGCTCTGCTCCGTTCGTTCCGTGTGTGTGTTTTCTAATTGGCAGGAGGACGTGTTTTAAATTGCAGAGTGAGGCTCCGGCCAGCCCCGGGGGATGCTTTGTGGCCGTGGGAAGTGTGGCTGGCTGCGAAGGCTCTCGTTCTCTCCCGGGGTAAAGGCGGCCGTGCTCTGTCCCTGCCTGCGGTCACCGGAGGGTGTGAGTGCGGGCGGAGGTCCCAGCTGCCAGCGTGTGCTGCTGCCCATGCTCCGCCCACGTCGCCCCCTGCGCAGCACCCCCCCCTCCACCGTGTTCGTTCCTCTTGCCGTGGCAGGTGTTTCCCATGCACATGTTTTTACTTGTTTTCAGTTACTGTACGTGGCCCTGTGATCAGAGTTTCCTGTACGTCACCCTGTGGTCAGAGACACCTGTACGTGGCCCTGTGATCAGAGTGACCTGTACGTGGCCTTGTGGTCAGAGACACCTGTATGTGGCCTTGTGGTCAGAGACACCTGTACGTGGCCCTGTGGTCAGAGTCACCTGTACGTGGCCCTGTGATCAGAGACACCTGTACGTGGCCCTGTGATCAGAGACACCTGTACGTGGCCCTGTGATCAGAGACACCTGTACGTGGCCCTGTGGTCAGAGTTTCCTGTACGTGGCCCTGTGATCAGAGTGACCTGTACGTGGCCCTGTGGTCAGAGTGACCTGTACGTGGCCTTGTATTCAGTTTCCTGTACGTGG